CCCCCCCCCCCCCCCCCCCCCCCCCGCCCCCCCAAAAAAAAAAAGTTGGGGTCCCCTTTAAGGGAGTTCGTTTCCCCTTTTTTTTTTCCCACAACCCGGGCCCTTTAATCCCCCCAAAAACAGGAAATTTTCTCCCCACGCGGTCCCCTTCGGGGGGAAGAAGAAAAACCCCCCCCCCCCCCCCCCTTTTATTTTTTTAAGAAGGGCGCCGCCACCCTTGGTGGAGGCCCCCTCCCCCTTCCTTTTTGGGGGGGGGGTTTTTTTTTGGGAAAAAAGAAGGGGGGGGGTGGTTTTCCCCTCCGAAAATTTCCCGGGGCGGTTTTTTTTTGGGAGGGGGGGGGGGGGTTTTTGGGGCTTTCCCCCCCCCCCTCCCGGCCCCCGGAAAATTTTTTTTTTTTTTTTCCCCCCCGTTTTTTTTTTTTGCCCCCCCCCCCCCCCCCCCCTGCCCCCCACATCTCGTTCCGTCTCTTATGTGTCTCTCTCCGTCTCGAAAGGGACGCGTGGTCAATGGTCAAATGACTACGGCAAGCAACAAATGAGTACGCCCCCCCTCCCCCCCCCCTGCCCCCCACATCTCGTTCCGTCTCTTATGTGTCTCTCTGTCTCTCTGTCTCTCCGTCTCTCTGCCCGCCTGTCTTGTCTGTCTGTATCTTTCCGTCCCCTTGTCCCTCGCCCCGTTCTATGCCCCCAGGACTTGTCGTTTTACTACCTCTTCGACCTCAACGTGCCCGGGTACGAGAGCGCGGAAGACCTTGTCGTGTCTTCTGGCCCTTCTAGCGACGCTCAGGCGCTCGCCTGCCCAGTAGACGAGGAAGAGGAGGAGGAGGAGGCCGTCACTCCAGTACCCACGCCCGAACAAGTCATAGACGAGGAGGAGGAGGAGGAGGAGGAGGAGGAGGAGGAAGTGGAGACCCCTTCGCCGATGACGGCCGTCGAGGAAGAGCTGGAGACGACGCCTGCGCCGGTGACGCCCGAGGAGGAGGTGGAGAAAGTCCCGGTGACAACCCCCGCCCCGTCGTCGCCGGTAAGGTCGCAACCTCGCCCCCCCTCTGTATTCTGTGTAGCATGCATGCCCCGGGCGGTCCGAATTGTACGACTGTTGTGTGTTGGTTATACCCCCACCCCCCCAACCTCCCACCTCATCCTAGGATGCTCCAAGCGCACGAGTAATGCAGCCGTCAGGGCAGAATTGGGGATCCAATCCCTACGGTCGGGAAGAGAAGAGACGCAAGGAAGCGGACATGGCAGTATCACGTGTGCGGGATGGGAGAGGAGAGTTTATCGAGAATAGCATGGGAGGCGAAGTGGGCAAACAAAAAGAGGGGTAGACAACCCACGGAATGGGTCAAGGTTGTAGAGGACGTATGGAAGGGGTTAGACATCGACGAAGATGAAACGCTGGAAACGGAGGGTCTACAGGGGTTCAAGGAGAAGATATCTGTTGCTTGTGCCGAGAGAGAAAAACAGAATCTAAGGAAAGAACCCAAGGATAAGGAGGGTCTAGAAGTGTACGGAATGTTGAAAGAAGGAATAGGGTTCAAGGATTACCTACATGGACCAATGGATGCAGGGACAAAGCTTGAGGTCAGATTCAGGACCGGGGACATAGGCCTTCGAGAACGTCGACGAAGACATAGGACGGTAGACGACGAAGACGACAAGTTCAAATGTGATTGCGGCTTCGAATGCGAAGACCGTGTTCATATAGTCGCGGAATGTCGTCTGTACAATACGGAGAGGGAAGTGTACGTGACTGAGCTGGAAAAAATAGAAGGGAGGTACAGGGAGATGTTTGAGGCATGGAATAGAGAGGAGAGGACGGTAGCTGTACTGGGGAGTAGGAAGTGGCTTGAAAAGGCGGGAAGGGATATCGTTAGGATAGACAGACTCGGGAAGACATTTTTGAGCCACCTTTGGCAAAGTAGGAAAGAACGATTGGCCATCAGTGATCGGTCATGTGGGAACAATGCTCCGTCCTCTCGAGGACGGGTGGTCAAAGGTTTAACCGGTAAGGCATGCAAAACATAAGGGTACCCCCCCCCCCCCCCCCCGGTGTTTGCCATCGGGGTTGGGTTTTCGTCGCTTGGCAACGACGTTGTAAAACAAGCCCCCCACTCGGTGTTTGCCATCGGGATTGGGTTTTCGTCGCTTGGCAACGACGTTGTAAAAGAAGCCAATTCACTTCGTGAACTCGGCAACCAGGTTACCGTTTTTTTTTTTACCTCGGTTTTTTTTTTTGGCGGTAACCAAAATGGTGGTCGAGTAGATCATGTTGTGCGGGGTCGAGAACCCTCACTCCGCGCAACGGGGGATGATCGCACCACGTTGTGTTAAAATGGTCAAGCTTCCTCGAGGCAGTTACACAGTGCTTACAACTGTCAATGGAAGTGAAAGCACCAGAAAATAAACTAAGTCATACGTAGCTGTCATCCGTACGCAAGGAAGTAAGCCAAGATGCCGAACACCCTTAGCAGGATGCAGCTCACCCTTCATGCGACTCGCCAAATACCTCACGGCGCTTCGCGCTTGGTGATGTGAGAGCCTGGTCCGGTGAGAACCCGGCGTGCTCCGTCCCGGCTTTGTAGGGATGCGAGGTCAATGGTCAAACGACTACGGCATGCACGACTATGAGTACACCC